TATTTGGGTTTATTTCTGGATTCTTAATACTGCTCTGAAGACCCATTTGTCTATCCTTATGTCAATACCACTCTGTCTTCATCACTGTAGCTTTGTGGTAAATTTTCAAATCAGGAAGTGTGATTTTTCCAGCTTTGTTCTTATTTTTCAAGATGGTTTTGGCTATTCTGTCCCCCTTGCAATTTCATATGAGTTTTGGATCAGCTTGTCCATTTCTATAAAAAATGCAGTTGGAGCCGGGCTCGGTGCCTCAGCCTGTAATCCCGCGCCTTTGGGAGGCTGAGGTGAGTGGATTTCCTGAGCCCGTGGGTTCAAGACCCACCTGGGCAACGAGACCTCATCTCTACAATAAATTAAAAAATCAGCCGGGCGTGGTAGTGCATGCCTGTAATTCCAGCTACTTTGAAGGCTGAGGCGGAAGGATCGCCGGAGCCCAGCAGGTCGAGGCTGCAGTGGCCAGGAGCGGCCACTGCACTCTAGTCTGGGCGACAGAGTGAGACTCCAGCTCAAACAAACAAACAAACAAACAAAAAAATGCAGTTGGAAGTTTGACTTGGACTGCATTGAATCTGTAGATCAATTTAGGGAGTATTGCCGTCTTAGCAATATTAAGTCTTCCAGTCCACGAATACAGAATAGAATGTCTTACAACTCTGTAGATTTTTAATTTTTCTCAACAATGTTTTGTAGTTTTCAGTGTGTAAGTCTTATACTCCTTTGGTTAAGCTTATTCCTAGGTGTTTTATTGTTTTTAGCGCTACTACAAATGGAATTGTTTTCATAATTTCATTTTCAGATTATTCATTGCTAGTGTTTATCATTACCATTGATTTTTGTATATTGATTTTGTGTACCTTACTGCAGTAATTTGTTTGCCCTATTACTTTTTTGGTGGGTTCTTTAAGGCTTTTTGTATTTAACATTATGTTTCCTGTAAATAGAGATAACTTTACTTCTTTTCTGCTCTGGATGCCTCTTATTTATTTTTCTTGCCTAATTTTGCAAGTTAGAACCTCTAGAACAATGTTGAGTAAGAGAGTTGAGAATGGTTGTTCTGTTGTCCTGTTTCTGGTCTTAGGGGGAAAGCTTTCAATCTTTACCATCTTCACCCACCATTAACCGAGGATATTTTGTAGGTACCTTTTATCAGGTTGAGGGAATTCCCTTCTATTCCTCATTTGTTGAATTTTTTTTTAAATCATGAAAGAGTGTTGAATTTTTTCTGTATCTTTAAAAAAAACTTTATTAATGTAGTGTGTAATGTTGATTGATACTTGTATGTATGTTGAACCAACTTTGCAATTCTAGGATAAATCCTCTTTCATCATGGCATATAATCCTTTTACTATGCTGAATCCAGATTACTAGTATTTTGTTGAGGATTTTACATCTCTATTCATAAGGGATATTGGCATATAATTTTGCTTTCCTGTTGTGTCTTTGTCTGGTTTTAGTATTCATGTAATACTGGTTTTATAAGAACAACATGAGCTGTATTTCTTCCTTTTCGAGGCATTTATGAGAATTGGTATTAATTTTTCTTTAAATATTTGATAAAATTCACCAGTGAAGCCATCTGGGTCTGGGATTTTCTTTGTGGGAAGTTATTGATTACTAACTCAAGCTCATGTTATATATCTATTCAAATGTTCTATTTCTTATTTTGTAAATGATTTTTTCCTTTTATTTTTAGTTGACGTATTTTATGTATTGTGCATATTTATGAAATACAGAGTGATGTTGCAATATACGTATGTAATGATCAAATCAGGGTAATTAGCATATCCATCACCTCAAACATAAATTATTTCTTTGTGTTGTGAACATTCAAAATCCTTTCTTATAGCATCTTGAAAATATATAATAGATCATAGTTAATTATATTCACTATAGAGTCCTTCAGAATACCAGAATTCATTCCTCCTATCAAGCTATAATTTTGTATTCATTAATCCAGCAGTCCCTAACCTTTTTGGCATCAGGGAACAGTTTTGTGGAAGACAATTTTTCATGAACGGGGGGATGGGTATGCGCATCAAACCTGGTAATATTAATCTGTATTTGTAGCTGCTCCCTAGTGCTGGCATCACTGCCCAGCTCCACCTCAGATCATTACACATTAGATTCTCATAAGGAGTGTGAAACCTAGATTCCTCACATGCATAGTTCACAATAGAGTTTGTGATCTTATGAGAATCTAATGTTGCCGCTGATCTGATAGGAGGTGGAGCTCAGACAGTAATGCAAGCGATGGGCAGCAGCTGTAAATACAGATGAAGCTTCACTTGCTTGCCCACTGCTCACCTCCTGCTATGTGGTCTGGTTCCTAACAGGCCACAGATTGGTACTAGTCCATGGCCAGGGGACAGGGGACACCTGCATTAATCAACCTTTCCTTATCCTCCTCTTTCCCCTTCCCTTCCCAGTCTCTAGTACCCACAATTCTACTCTCTACTTCCATGAGCTCAAATTTTTTTTTTTCAGCACTCACATATGAGTAAGGACATGGTATTTATCTTTCTGTGACTGACTTCAGGTATTTGCTCATTTCATTCATGCTATTTTTTTTTTACATATCATTGTTTCTAGAATTCCCTTATAACCTTCTCCCCACCTCTGTAACGTAAGCAGTAGTGTCCCCTCTTTCTTTCTTGATTTTCCTAATTTGAGTTTTCTCTCTTTTTTTCTTGCACACTCTAAGCAGAGGTTTATCTTTATTTTGATGGAATCAAGTTGATATAGAATCAACTTTTGGTTTCATTGATCTTCCCTTATTTATTATTTATTTTCTTCTGCTTGCTTTGAGTTTAGTTTACTCTTCTTTTGCGAACTTTCTAAGGTGGAAGTTTAGTTTGTTTTGAGGTCTTTTTTTTTCTAAACAGAGGCATTAGCAGCAATACATTTTTCTTTGGTTCTGCTTTTGTGGCATTCCATATGTTTTGTCTTCATTATCATTTATCTTCAAGTATTTTCCAGTTTCTTCTGTTGTTTCTCTTTTGACCCATTGGTTTTCTTGAAATATTTTGCTCAATTTTCATATATTTGTGAATTTCTCAAATTTGCTGTGGCAGATTTCCAATTTCATCTCATTGTGGCCACAGAAGATATACTTTGTGTGATTATAATAAGTCTTTTAAATCTATTGAGAGTTGTTTTATGGCCTAACATATCATCTGTTTTGGAGACTATTTATTTATATATATATATATATATTAGATGATTATTTTTCTTTTAAAGATGTGGGGTACAATTCAGGATTAGGTATACAAGTGGTCATTGTACAGGCAACATTTGGGCCTTCTTTTGGTCCCCAGTTTGCCTGGTTTGAGATCAGGTACCCTTACTGATGTTGTGCCTCCCCTCTCTCACACCCTAGCAGTATCCCACTACTGCCAATTCCTTTCCTATAGTATTATGGTAAATGTTCAGGGTTCACTTATGAGTGAGAACATGTGGTACTCTGTTCTTTGTTTCTGTTATAGACCACTGAGTATGATAGACGCTAAATCTATCCAAGTTGCTGTGAAGTCATATGTTTGTCTTTCCTTATGGCTGCATATTATTCCATTGTGTATATGTACCACATTTTTTTAATCCAGTCTGGTTCCAATGGGCAGTATAGTTGGTTCCATGTTTTTATTATTGTGAATAGTTCTGCAATAAACATGTGTGTGCAGGTATCTTTTTTGTAGAATGATTTGAGTTCCTCTGGGATTGCTGGGTCATATGGAAGGTCAATTTCTAGTTCTTTTAGAAATTGTCACACTGTTTTTATTTTAGAGAATATTTAATGTGTACTTGAGAGGAATGTGCATTCTGCTGTTATTGGGGTAAATGTTCTATAGATGTGTGTTAGATCTCTGTGTTTTTTTTGTTTGTTTGTTTTTGTGTTATGCTATCAACACTCAGCCAGGAAGTTTGTAGCTTTGCCTTAGCAGTTACTCCTACCCGAAAAGATTCCTAACATCTGTTAGAGGTGAGTTCTTAGAGCTTTTTCAGGTTTTTTCTGAGCTTGTATATGGTCCTATGCGTGTGTCTGGTTTTCTAGATTTCTAGGAAAATGCTGGAGCTTTCGGATCACCTGTGGACATCTCATTCTTCACCCTTTCCTTTGTGTCCCCTACCTAGTTCATTATTTTCCCCAGCTGGTACCTATCACCTCAGGCAGACATGATGTTAGAACATTTGACTAACACCCCTGGGAAGAAGCTGTTAGCACTGGAAGAGATTCCATGAGATTGAATAAAGGCATGTCTTTTGACTAGGTTCTTTTAGAGTACCACTAGCCATTTAAGATAATAACTTCCCTTTGGGAATGAGTTTTTCAAAGATTTCTAGCTCCAGTCTGTTCCTCAGGTATCGGGAATACATGCTGTTATTTTTCAAGGCTGTCACAGAGCTGTGGGGCAAGGGATGAGACTAAAGTAAGTTAAAATGCCACACAGTTCAGCAATATTTCTTGATTAAATGCTGCCTGCATTGCTGTAACTCTGATTAGTTTCCAGAGTACTGAAAAAGTTGATTATGACAAATTCTGTTGAGTTTTTTTGTAGGAGTGAATGTTTGGTGGTCATTACTCCACCGTTTTCACTGGTATTACCATCATCGATTTTTTTAATGGAAGGTCAGAGATTGACATTCTGGGATGTGCATAATGTGAGGGGGCCATTATAAAAGATCTCTAACAATGATACTGGAACATTTCATTTTAGTTGGTCAAGAGCTAACATCTTTATGTCTGCTGTTGTTTAGCTTAGGTAAAATATAATAATTCAGTGAAATGAGCAGCTAAATCATTTTTCATTATTTATTTCAGGGACTTAACATAAAATTGCTTTTGAATTTATGTAAATTCTGTGGTTGAGAAGAAAGAATTGGAAGAAACTCTTTGAGGTTTTTTTGAATAGTTAGAGGTCAGTGCCTTGAATAGTATTGCAAAAACGTATTTCTATTATATGATATTAAAATAATGCATGCTTTCTTATTGTTTATATTTTCAGGGTACCTTCGATGATTACTTGGAGTTATTCCTGCAGTTTGGTTATGTGAGCCTTTTCTCCTGTGTTTACCCATTAGCAGCTGCCTTTGCAGTGTTAAATAACTTCACTGAAGTCAATTCAGATGCCTTAAAAATGTGCAGAGTCTTCAAACGTCCCTTCTCAGAACCTTCAGCCAATATTGGTGTATGGCAGGTAGTTATTTAAGAAAAAACTATTCCCTTAGAAAATAAAAAAATGAGGTGTTGTGACCAAAAGAAACCCCCAAAACCAAAAAACCCCCCAAAACCCAACCAAACAAAAAACAAGCCCTAAAGAGAGATTTAGGAAAACTGAATTTTTGTCTTTGATTTGCTACAAACTAGCTATGTGACCTTAGACAGTCATCAGCTTTCTCTGGCTTCACTTTTCTTGTTCTTAAAGTTGGGGGTAAGGGAGGTAAAAATATAATTTGTAAGAACCCCTTTCAGATGGAAAGCTTCAACAGTTTTCTGGGAACCCGTCTCAGAGGAAGCCTGGTGGAGGAAAGGGGACAAGGAAACAAGGAGACTCTTCACTTTACACTTAGAATTTTTAATTTTTAAACTTTGTGAATATAATAATTAAAAGTAAATAAATAGAACTTTTGAGCTATTTAAAGATAAGAAAGTCTTGAATAAATTGTAAAGAAAAATATGAAAAAAAATTAGATTTCACAAAGGATTCCTAAATTATTAGATGGCAGAAATTCTCCATGGGACAAGATACATTTATTAAATTTGGATTCAATCATCTTTTGGTTTGCATCTTTTAAAATTTATCTTTCTAATGTAATTGTGGGGTTTTTAAAAAAATCAATGATTATTAAGTAGTGATCACTAAGTGCTTTATATAAAAGGGGAAAAAAAAGCAACAGTCAAAACTTTTCTACATCCATCCTCAGTAGAATGCACCAAAGTCTCCTTCATGAGATCCTGGGTCAGAGTCTAATTTAGCAGGTCTCAGTGGGGCCTAGCATCTGTGTTTTTCTAAATTTTTACAAATGATTTGATAAATGCTGCTGGGAAGGGATCACTGTTCGTAAGTGGTGCCTCAGTTGTACAGCTAATTATAGCTAAACCAGATGTGGTATATGAGTTGTCAAAGTAAAAGAATGGTTTCACAACATAAATTATGTTTGAATTCTTACCTGTTTTTGAATATGAAACATTTTCTCTAGTGGCCCTCCTTTAGATTTCCCTTAGATATGAGTAACTTTACAGTATTCCAAATTCAGGTCCCTGGCTGCCTCCAATTAGGAAGGTAGAACATACTGCTTTGGGATATTCAAGCCAAAAGTATCTAAAATACCTTCTAACAGTATGGCTTTTTTCAGCTAAAAAAAAATCATAACATGACAGAGAAAAAAGTTTAAAATGTACTTGGAATGTTTAGAACTACGGTAAGACTTTTTCCTTGATTTTTGAGATAATATGAAAAAGGATGAGACATTCCAGTTTTACATTTCACATTCTTTTTTCTTATAGTTGGCTTTTGAAACAATGAGTGTTATATCTGTGGTCACTAACTGTGCTCTGATTGGAATGTCACCACAAGTGAATGCAGTCTTCCCAGAATCAAAAACGAACCTCATTTTGATTGTAGTAGCAGTGGAGGTAAGTGAAACTTTAAACCTCTTTTAAGCAGAATCCATATCAGATGCCTCTGTTATTCTAAAGCAGTGCTGTTTCTGGCTGTCCTTGATTGACAGTTTAGCAATGTGTTTTTACTAGTGAGTAAGCAAAACAGTTCAAGTAATAGAAAACATGAAAATTCAGGCACTCATGGTCATTGACCAAGTATGAAAAAATGGTCACCATGAGACAAATAGGAAGTGACTTTCCCCACCATTGTACTGGCCTGTCCAGTAAGTAGATAAATCCTGGCCTGTCCAGTAAGTAGATAAATCCTATTTGAAATAGGATTCTATAAATTTAATATGTATTTTTAGTCCATTCTGGGGAAATGACACTTCTACCTTCTAAGTAAATCCTAAGAAATGCTATTTGATGATTTAAGTCTCATTTGCTGCAGGTATAGAGTTTATTGTAAAACTCTCAAACTCCAAACTATAATTTGTAGAAAGACGCATAATTTCACATATAAAGTACAAGAAGTCTGTCTGTGCTCTTTTTTAGGTTTCTCTTTTATCATATTTCAGAATATGAATTCCTGTAACATCTTGAAAATTAGGCACTAACCAAATGTAAATGGAATAATTTGTGGGAATTTTTTGTTGCTTGTGGTTATCATTGTCAAGAATGTTGTGACCACCTTTCATTTTTAGATACTGTAAAAGTAGAGCAGCTGTGGAACTTTATTAAAGTAGAATTTTGCAGGATCATGGAGTGGTGGTTCATACGCCTGAGGCCTTAGGACTCAGGGCCAACCAGAAGAAATGTAATCATGAACTTGCACATTTCCAGTGTTAGCTAAAGAAATATATTCTGCCTTGCTCTTTTTGTTCTTTTATCATGTTTGATAGGAATCTGCGTTTGTGATAGATGCTATATGTAGAATATATATTTTGGAGAATGATTTTAGACAGCAGTGAGTAGGAGGGGAGAGAGAATGGCCCTGACAGATAAAAGTAGGTCTGTTTTGAATTTTGTGAGTTGAATAGGATTTTGGAGAGCTATTTGCATGGCTAATTTATTACCTGTTGAAGTGAGAGAACAAGACAGAATTACCTTAGATATGGAGAGACCAGCTGGGTGGGTTTCTAGTGTGCCTTCTTGATTTAGAATATGGCCCTTAACTTTGCATATCTAGAAACTTGTCATTGCTGGTGTGTCCAGAGTTAATTAGGCTTTTGGGACTGACTTATATTTGAAACTGAGACTCACAAGAGACTGACTGGAGTACCAGGTAGCTAATTTACAACAAGAAGTTATTTTTCCAATTACCATAATAGTTGATGTTAAAGTAAAGGTGGAATTGGTTATTAGAAGATTTCGCATAAGAACAAAGAGAGGGTAATCATCCAGAGAGACACAGAAAACTTGAAAATTATCCCTATTCTGACATAGAGCAGAGCTCTGTCAAGAGCCAGATCTTGGTGTCTATCACCAGCGTCTGAGCAATGCTTCTACATATAGTGTCCACCTACAAGGTGAAGGGGGATGCTTGTTACCATTTAGTTGAGAGAGGAGGCCAGGCTCCCTACTTAGCCTTCTCCTGTGGGATTAGGCCCCTTGTTATCACTTGGTAAAAGCCTAAGTCTAGGCTTCTTCTAGGCATTTGTAGACATCCATGGGAGATCAGGTCACAGTGTTTTCTGTGGTACTTGGCTGGAGTAGAATAATTATCGTCTAAAAGTCTGTTTCTTACTAGGTATCCCCATTCCTGGTCTTTTGGCTAGAGAGCACAGCTTTTCTTGGATTTTTTTTTTGGTCTGTGCTTGCTGGCATTTCTGAGTTGCCAGCTTCCATAGCCCTCAGTCTAGGATTTATGAGGCCAAAGAGAAATCCAGGGAACTCATTGTCATGTTTTCTGGGTTCTTGAGTCCCTAGACAGTCTACCTTTTTCTTTCTACTTTTCGGAATCTTCTTATATTTGTTTTACAAATAATGCCCCTGGTTTATAGTTGTACTTAATAGGAGTGATATTGAAAAGTACTTCTTCATCTTTCCGGAAATGGAAGTCCTCGCTTTCTTGTTTATTCACTTTATCCCCTACCCACCTTAGGGCCTTTGCACACACGAAGTCTCTTCTTTGTGCCTGGCTAACACACTTTTATTCCTTAAGTCTCAGCTCAGCTATCACGGGACTCCCAGGTCTTACTGATTTCATCTCAACTAGGTCTGTTAGTCTCCCTTTAAGCTTTGTAGTCGTCTCCTTCATGACATTTATTCTGCTTATAAGCCATGCATTTACTTGTGGTTTTATTTCTTTAACACCTGTTTCTCCTGTACACTGTCAGCTTCATGAGGGCAGGATGATGTCTACTTTTCCATCTCAGTAAATAAGCCTGCTCCCTAGAGTGATGACTAAAACATGGTAGGTATGCAGTTTAGTGTTTTGATGAGTGCTAAACTAATAAATTAAGCAATTAAAAAAGAAAATAGACGTTTGTCTTATTTAAAGAGGAAAATGGATGTTTCTCCTTTTTAATGTATTTATATCCGGTATTAATTATATGACTAATTATTGGTTATAACATTTCTAAGTTCTCCTTATGGGGCTTAAAGTGGCAAGTGCTTATCTTTTTAACTCCTTAGTTAAATTATGCCCAGTCAATATTGAGAGCTGCTATATATATAATACTGAATATGGTGCTAAGGAAAAGCAAAGCCGTTTTTCAGTTTTGTCCTCAAGAATTCTGCTTTTTTTTTTGAGTTGGAGTCTCACTCTGTCGCCCAGACTGGAGTGCAGTGGCCGCTCCCAGCCACTGCAGCCTCGACCTGCTGGGCTCCCATGATCCTTCCGCCTCAGCCTTCCAAGTAGTCAGAACTACAGGCGCACACTACCACGCCCGGCTAATTTTTGATTTATCGTAGAGATGAGGTCTCGCCAAGTTGCCCGGGGGGGTCTTGAACCCGCGAGCTCAGGCAATCTATTCACCTTAGCCTCCCAAAGTGCTGGGATTACAGGCTGAGCCACCAAGCCCGGGAAGAGTTCTGCTTTTTAATGTGGTGAGATGTGCACATTTTACGAACACATCCACATACATATATAAATACATGTACTAGAGATGTAACTAGGTAGTATAAATAATATGCCAAGTGAATAATCTGTATTAAGGCTGGAGAAGGAGATATTCATTAATTTCATCTAAAGGCATCATATTCTTCACTAGTGATCTCTATCTTTTTTTGTGAGTTCTGGGCCTCTATAGCATTTTTTGAATGGGCTGGATGTAGATTAATTCTGATTTTTCCAGAACGGTTGAAAGGTCGTTTTTTCTATGTTGTTAGAGACTTCCCATTTGAATTTTGACCCTTGTAATCTACTCCTGGATATAAGTTAGAGGTACCTATCAATATGAAGGGGGAGACAGAAGTACAGCCATGAGCTGATTTAAAGTCAGTCATAACATAGAGGAAAGGTATTTTTTTACCCTAAAATTAATTCAGTAGGCAAAAATGCCAGCAACATTTTAGGCAATTTCATTACTTCCTAAACTTATACTTCTCAACAAAAACTAAATAAAAAACTCGGACAAACAAACAAACTTCCTAAACTTATACCTCTAAACAAAAACTAAATAAAAAACTCAGACAAACAAACAAACAATTTACTTTGGTTACCAAAGCCAGATCCTTAGAAGAGTGATTATACATGATGTGTATTTTTGTTGTTATTTTTAAATGGGAGATAACTGATGTTATCAATATTTGCTAATATGGAGATCCCCTACAGTAAGTTGTAGGGTGAGGGGTGTGAGGAGATTATAACTAAATGTGTTATGTTCTTTCATTTGCATTTTAAAATCTTAGTAAAATGTATATAACATAAAATGTATGATTTTAGCCATTTTTGAGTGTACAGTTCTGGATATTAAGCATATTTACATTGTTGTACAACATCGCTACCATCCATATCCAAAACTTTCCTTTCTAAACTGATATTCATCTTGATGAAAAAAGCAATTTAAGATGTTAAATTTTTTTCTCCAAGTTAATTAACATCTAAATGCATTTATGTTTTATGTGGTTAGAATTTGTTAACCAAAAAAACACAACTTAGAAAATGTAATGATTTTATGAAGTTGTTATTCAGTGCTAGTGTTCTTATAATTTAAAATGGAATGAATTAATAGTTTCAGTAGCTTTTCTGGCTCACATTCCAAAGCCAGATAACTTCAGTTTTTTAACATAGACTTTTGGTTCTTTAGTTTTGTTTTTTTTTAAGCTTTATTTAGCGCAGCTCAAAATTGAGTCAAGGCAAAATAATGATTATGGTATGATAAGAATGGTGTCTCATCACAACTTTTGTGTATTTACTGCCATCTAGTGTTTGAACACCACTTTTATCTGTAAAATAGTTAAAGATTTTATTATAGACGAAATAAGAGAGTAGACTACCAATGTATTAGATGAAAACATACAAAAATGCCATTTTGTAGTTTTGTGTGTGTCATAAAGTTAATTCCACAAGATTAAGTCAACATCCAAACAATTTTCCTTAAGCAATTATCATCCTTACTTGTGAGACAAATTTAGTTCACTTTTTAATGTAATTTCAAGCAAAGAATCACTACTTTACATGCAGAATTACAGAAAAATCTCCAATTCCTAAAAAAATTAATGCCTGAAATTCTCTAAATATCAAATATTAGATAATATTTCATTTTAGTATTAAATAAATTTACAGCTTTTTAAATTCTAAACTTTGCAAGATGTACTAGGTCACAGATGGATTTCAATGGAACAGCCTCTCCAACATAACTGAATTGATTTTGTTTGTGTTACTGTTTGCTGTTTATATGTTAATCTCCCATTCTTTTGTGCCTTCTTCCATCCATGACATGACTCCATTTTCTTCCTTCTTCTAATCTTGTTCCCTCACCTCAGTCCAGCCCTCTTTCCCTCCCATCCATCCCTCATCAGGGCCTGATGATTCTAACTTTGAGTATTGTTTCGTCTCTCTCTTTGTCATGGGGTTTATTTTCTCA